ATATGTTTAAACCTGTGGTTAAATGTAAATATAAAGTCAGAATTATTTACAGAAAATAAAAATAGTTTCATATTTAAAACAGTGATGACATATATTAGTAGTGATTCACAAGTCCAAGTTATCTGTGTTTTTTTATTTAGAGGACGATTTGATCAGTTTGTCTGCAGTATTTTAATCTCACGTTTCCCTGAGCAACCACCAGAGGGCTCCACATGACAGAGTGTTACATGGAGCCTTCAGAGACAGAAACATAAACCATGAACTCCAGACGGCTGCTCTCATCAACCTGACATGAATGAGTGTCATTAAGGATTAATGAGTATAATTAAGGATTACTGTGACAGAACAGAGTGGGACAAACACCAATCTGTGTCTTTATATGAATTAACTTGTGTCCTCTCAGATTAAAACAGTAGCAGGGTGTGAATCATCTGAGCAGCAGGATCCAGCCTGTTCTCCTCCCTCTTATTGCTTCACACATTAGGACACTCGCTGGCTTTCAACAGATCCTGAAAAGGAAGTTGCAACATGTGCTGAAGTCTCCACAGAAGAGGAAGTCACAGCTGGAACAGACCTGAACTCACATTTCAGTGTTTTTCTTTTTTTAAAAGATGTTTTACAGGACTGTCATGTGACCTGAGGAGACTGCTGCCTTTACAGGACGACTCGAGTCAGACGGGTGAGTTCTCTGAACACTGTAACATGAGAGTTGGGATCATTATAGTACTCTGTGCAACCACATCTGTCCTCGCCGTTGACTGACTGCAGGACGACCTGCTACACATCTGTCCTCGTCGTTTACTGACTGCAGGACGACCTGCTACACATCTGTCCTCGTCGTTGACTGACTGCAGGACGACCTGCTACACATCTGTCCTCGCCGTTTACTGACTGTAGGACGACCTGCTACACATCTGTCCTCGCTGTTGACTGACTGTAGGACGGCCTGCTACACATCTGTCCTCGCTGTTGACTGACTGTAGGACGACCTGCTCCACATCTGTTTCTTCTCTTTCATAAACCTGAACTCGACTGGAGACACAAAATGATTTTTTTTACAGGTGGAAGAAACAGAAGTTTACAGTGGGGCAGAACAACAGTTCAGTCATGTTGCTCTGCTGTGACTCTGAATGAGTCATGTTTAAATCTGTCAGGATCTGTCAGCAGGAAGTGAGTGCTGACTCACACACGTGCATGTTCACCACTGCTGCAGTTTACAAATCATCAATTACTCAAAAAAAAAAGCTGTTCGTTTTTTCTCATTAAAAAGGTCTCAAAAGATCCAAAACTCAGAAGACATCACCATCATGATCATCATTGTAGGAAATATTGATTGTTACCTAATTTATAATTTATTCTGTGGCAGCTTTTATTAAATAAATGCTTGCCGACATTCTCCACCATTTTGTATGAAAAGTTTGATTGATATGATTCATTTAGGGTTTGCATTCTCCACTATTACATATGTAAGGTTTGTTTGATTATAAACAGTTTATTCAGGTGCCTACGTTTTTCACCATGAATACTGTAGGGTTTGATTAGCTCAATATTAGGAAAAAGTGACGTTAATAAGAATTATTAAACATAACCACTTTAATTATTCATCCAGCGATATAATTTCATAGTCAGACTAATAAAACCACACCTCTTGCTGATCAGACAAGAATGTTTAACGCACTTTGGGGAAATTATTAATTATCACTTGTCAATTCAAATAGAGCTCAAATAGCCAGAATCTTTGCAACCGTAAAGTGACTGAATGTAATCCTACAGAAAACCAAGACAACGACTTTATAGACAAACATTTATTCTAAACTACTGACACAGAAGACCAAGACACAATACAACTAATAACAGACAAGGCAATGAGTAAATGCAACTATGAGTGGAATGAAATGAATACAGCGATGCTAATGAATGAATGACCAGAGTGAACGAGATGAAGCAGTGAGCAATGGTGAGATAATTATCAGAGGAAACTTTAACATGGACCTGTGAAAAGCACCATTCAACAGCTGAGAGGCATGGAAAGCCAAAAAAAAGGGAATCATCTGAAAACTTAGGGGAAATCCTAGTTTTATCTAATGCTCCCTACCATACTTATTAAACTACGCATCAAACCCCAGCACTGGAAAATTATGTTGTTTCACCTGAGTTGTAGCAGACCAGAAAGAAGATGCTCTGGAGGGGGAAGAGGAGAAAGCAGCGCTGCTCCTTGGTGTGAACCGCTCCTGGTGCTGTCCCACGGGGCAGCCTGCTCAGCTGGTCCTCCTCGGTCGAACTTCTTTGAGCCCTTGGGCACTTTTGGGCGTTCTTGAGCCTACATGGCAACTTTGGCTCAGGTGAGCTTGGCCCTCCATGTCATCTTTACACACCCAGTGTGGGCATGCAGGAGTCTGCCTTTCTTCAGTCCTGACCTTGTTGGTCCAGGACACATGAGTTAGGCAGACCTTGTGGCATAAAGTTCTTTCTGTTGGGTTTCAGCATGTTCAGTTCTGCTCAGGATGCAATCAAATTGCCCAGCGGGGCCACGCTGGATGGGGCCCAGCATGGCCCGCCAGCTTCTGAAAAGTTCTACTTCAAGTTCTTCTTTTTCTTTAACTTCTTAAAGAAACTTTACTTAACAAGACAAAAAGTCTCTTCTCATCTTATAGTTGATAAAAGGGGTTGGAATTGGCAGGCAGGCTCCGCCCTCTGTGCTGTGATTGGCCTTGCCAACTGTCTGTCTCTGGCTGATGTCCAGTAGGAGCAGTTCACTGTCACTGGCGGGACATTTCACTCCTCCCCTCCTGTATCTTTGCTAGTTTAAAGTTTAATTTACTTTAATTGCTTCCTAGATAGTTAATGAAACTTGGAACATTTCTAATGCTTCCATATTTACCAACGAGGCGCTGTCTGCTATTGAATGGTACCAAACACACATTGTCTGCAACAGGATATTACCAACTTATAAATAAGTGGTCAACAGACACTACTAATTCAGATTNAAACCATTTCAGGTGACTACCTCTTGAAGCTCATGGAGAGAATGCCAAGAGTGTGCAAAGCAGTAATCAGAGCAAAGGGTGGCTATTTTGAAGAAACTAGAATATAAAACATGTTTTCAGTTATTTCACCTTTTTTTGTTAAGTACATAACTCCACATGTGTTCATTCATAGTTTTGATGCCTTCAGTGAGAATCTACAATGTAAATAGTCATGAAAATAAAGAAAACACATTGAATGAGAAGGTGTGTCCAAACTTTTGGCCTGTACTGTATATATATATATATATATGTACATGTGTATATATATGCACTGAAATAGAAAGAAAGGTGAAGCATAAAATTACAATCAACATGTTGGCTCCTGGAATCCGCATTTCTGTCTGTCCTCTTAAAAGACAACCACAGGGAAAGGTGGGTGTTATCACATTAGCATACAGTACACACACGTCTGCACCATAGGGGACCTGGTGTCAGAGTGGCATCTCAACTTGAATCTTCTTCATGGTTAACACCAACACCAACATGTTAAATAATAAAGTTACGTTTGAAACACCTTTCAGACCATGTGGCTGAGTCTGTCTCTTTGTTTCCTTTCCAGAGTTTGCGAAGTGTTGTAAACTCTCCCGTCACATCTGGTGATGTGTGGGTTGTTGAGAGCTTATCAGTTGAGTGAAGGTCTATATTTGACCCAGTGGTTGGTCACCAATTCTTCTTTGATGTCAGGATGCTGAGTAAAAGTCCATTAGTGGAAATCCAAAATAAACAGGCTTGATCACCCCACATCATCGTCACTGAGCAGATAACTACAGATCCTGATAATGAAACACTTTTGTTAATAAAGACCACAGAGACATTCTGAGAGGAACGGTTCAGGTTCATGTTGTGACTGAGTGTGTAGTTCATGTTGTGACTGAGTGTGTAGTTCATGTTGTGACTGTTTTCTGTCTGAAAAGGGACATTTACTTGGGGACCGTGGTCGATGTGGACAAACTCGTTGAATGAATGTTTGTGTCTTGTGGGGATTGCACGAGGCGGATTCACACCTCTGCAGAACCACACTTTGGTTTTACTGTGGTTTTTGGAAGAATTGCCCAACTAAGTCAACTGCAGTGATGGGAACCAAAAATGTCTCTGTCAGATGCTCCATGTCAGTGTTTTGGGTCACAGGTAGTTTACTGAATTATAGAGTATATAAATCTTTGCCAGTCTGAGCAGTGGTTCAGACAGCACATGAAAAGGAGTCAGTTTTAGAAACGCCTCATTTTTCCACATGTCAGTATTTACAGGAACATGTAATTATGTTCTTTAGATAGATAAATTAAAACAACTGTTTGGTAGGGCCGTAACGGTACATGTATTTGTGTCGAATCGTTCGGTACGCGACTTTCGGTTCGGCACGACCCTGTACCGAATTATTGGGCGCAGAATATTATTTTATTTTATTTTAATTCCGTTTTTGCGAGCCCAACCATTTAAAATATCTAGTTCCCAGACGGACATAATTGAGTGACGGACCGAGTCCCGTAAATCTCCGCTTTCGCTTTGTGCAGCGCATTCTCGCATTTTGACAACATGGCAAGTGAGCCTGACGAACCTGAAGACCCACCCGCAAACCTTAAGTCCTCCGTTTGGGAACACTTTGGTTTCAGGGTAAAATACGAAGATGGAAATAAACAAGTGGACAAGACAAAAGCAGTGTGCCGACACTGCAGAACAGCGGTCGGATATGTACTTGGAAACACGCCTAACATGCTAACGCATCTAAAGCGACACCACCCGAGTTTGAACGTTAACCGGCACGACTAGAAAAAGCAATCTGCTGCAAACTACGATATCGTCGTCGTTTAAAAAGAAAGAGCGTTTCCCTGACCATTGCGCTAAAGAAATAACCAACGCCATTGGAGTTGAGTAAGCATACGACATCCCTCTGTCCTTATGACCCTCGTAAAGCAGAGAAAATATTCTAATCTGTTAACTTTAACTGATATCAATTTTTTTTGGTGGTTAAAGCACATTTTGTTGCTGCCTGGTCCACAGCAGAACGTCGCTTATCCTCATGATGATTCTCCTGCCTGCTTGTGGGACCTCTGCCTCCTCCTCAGTAAAATCCAACCTGTCCCTTTAACAAGTGTGTTGAAACGCAAAGGAAGGTGAACAGACTGTTGAAGGGTGAAATGCAAACACAGTCTTCCTCCTCTTTGTCTGAGTTGTTTGTGCCTTCGTCCCGTGGAGGTGGGACAGAGCTGTTCAGTCATTGGCTGAGCCGCGCTGTTGAGTGTTCGCTCTGCACGCGAGGGTCAGAGGTGAGGTTTCCTCTGGTTAGCTCTGCAGTGTTGTGAACACTTTCTCATCCTTCCTTCGTCTGTTCGGTGCCTCTTTGTGTCGCTCTCTCTGAGGTGAGTCATTTTTATTATGCACTATTCTGTCATCAGTGGACTAAAGTTTGTTTTACAGTCTCTGACTTTAAAAGTACAAACTCTGCTACTGCAGGAGAATCAGAGTCTGTCTCAGATCAGCTCCTCGTTACCTTGTTAGAAATACTAGGACTTCCCAGGCTTGGAGGAACTCACCGTTAAGAGTTGCATATTTTTAAGGAGTATGTTGTAATTCTGTCCACAAAGGAGACACACATCCTTTTACACCAGAGACACCTGCTGTATCCAGTAAAGATCAACTATTTTTAATCTATTCA